TGTACTATGAACTGAGTGCTTGAGATGGACAAAAAGATGTCCAATTATTAAAGATGTCACCAGGTGTCAAGACCCAAAGCAGAGAGAGTACCTTTGAACTTCTAAATGTACTTCTTTCCCAGGATCTAAGAAATGGATTTGTTAGGGAACCAAAGATATGCACACCAGAGAAGTCTCTCTAGAGTCTCTCTCTCTCTCTCTCTCTCTCTCTCTCTCTCTCTCTGTGTGTGTGTGTGTGTGTGTGTTTACCAAAGCTGGGCTTCACAGACACATAGACGGCTCTACTTCTTGAGGAGTTCTGATACATTCTCTTGTTTTGATTAGACATGCACCACTCAACTGCATCACAGGATTTATTTATTTATTTATTTATTTATTTATTTATTTGACTGGGGAAGGGGGGTCATGGTTCAAGACAGGGTTTCTCTGTAGCTTTGGACTCTGTCCTGGAACTCACTCTGTAGACTAGGCTGACTTTGTACTCACAGAGATCCACCTGCCTCTGCCTCCCAAGTGCTGGGATTAAAGTTGTGCAGAGTGGTTGGCACACGCCTTTAATCACAGCACTTGAGTAGCTGAGGCAGGCAGATCTCTGTGAGATGGAGGCCAGCCTAGTCTACTAATGAGTTCCTGTCACAAAACCAAACAAACAAAACAAAACAAAAAACTAACAAATAAACAAGACCCTCCCCCCAAAAAATCACGGTTTTTAAAGCGCACAGTCTGTACTTCTAAAACACACAGAATGGCCAGGAAGGTATCACACACCTATAAACCTCTAGCACTTTGGAGGCAGAGGTCAGAGGAGACTGTAACAGAAGTAAGGCCTAATATGGAAGACAGTTCCAGAATCCCTACTCAAGTTTCATGTCCCAACCAGCACCTGGGCCCCATTCCTAGATCTATGCTTATCTAGGGCAGGAGGTTACAAAGACAAGGGCTTCCCTGGCTGGGTAATAGTTCTTCCTTAAGGATCTTCACCTTGACAAAACCTCAGCTCTTCAGTACCTTCAAGAGTGGGTCGTAAGATTCATAGTTTCCAGGGTGCTGCCCATATTCCATGAGGACTCCTGTGGTGTTAACCATATGGGTTCTGATGGTCTCTGGCAATGACCTCACAAGGACAAAAGGAAAGAGCAATGATGGACCCTTGGTTGTACCACTGTGCCAAATCAGGTCTTCTCAGTGGTGGCTTTCAGTATAGACTGGGACTCCAGGAAGGGAAGGGTGAGGAATTCAATACTCTGAGCCAGGCCATGAGCCTCAGCAGTAAATGGCTTCCACCTCTGGACTAAAAGAATCTGTCAGGGCCACACCTATCCACCTTGGCTCATCTCCTTGGCTGATCCCTTCCCCAGCACAAGCAAGTGCTCTTGGGAAATGGAGGAACCCTCTCTCTGTCCCCAGTATCAGAGGGAAGCTCCTCAAACCAAGGGGTACACCACCCCGAGCTGGGTAACGTGAGATGGTTATAAGGCTGGCTGAAAGGGCAGAGATGTGAGGCAGCAGTCAGGTCTCAGTGGGCTCAGAGAAGCAAAAGAAAAGTGGAGTTCTTGGCTGGGAGTAAGAAGGGTTTATTGAACTCAACTGGGCAGGTTTTGTCCAGTGCATGTGTGGGACGCCTGCAGGAACCCAGAGATGTGTGTGGTGGTGGTGGCACAATGCCGTGTAACCTGCCCCTTTCTAGCACTATTCACATGACTCCAGGGCCCAAAACAGCAAGCCACAACAAAATGGCATTCTGGAGAGTGGGGCCTACCCAGCAGGGACTATAAAGTTGAAGCAAGGTCACCCACACGGGAAACCCACCTCTGGGTTTTTATAACTCACAATTCATCATTCGAGGGCTCCAGGAAGGAGTGATTACACATTGGGATACAAAGACAGGATGGGAGTAGCAGGAAGAACCATCACAAGGCCTGCAGAAGGACTGACCCCAGGCTGAACAGAAGCACCCCTGCCAGGGTCCAGGTGCTGCCCCCAGTGGGAACTGCTGCATTGCAGAGGTCTTTGTTACAACACGAAAGCTTGGTGAAGACTTGGACACCCAAGAAGTCAAAATTTCCATCATAATTCTTATCAGGGCAGACAGGAACACAGAACTTGTTCTTTGTTTTCACTTTGTGAGAGTCTGCAAGACATCAGGGAGTGACCTCACAGGGTGTTCAGGAACAGCTTGGCACCCCAAAGTTTGAGGTACATGCCACCAGGCCTGGATGGCCCAGCCTTGCCTCTAAGGCACATTGAAGCCAGACATGTTAGTTTATACTTGTAGTCCCACAACTTGGAAAACTAAGGCAGGAGGATTATTATGAGTTCAAATCCAACCTGGGCTAAATGGGGAGTTCTGGGCTAGAGTGAGACCCTATTTTCAAAAAAAAAAAAAAAGCATGGATTGGTAAGGTGGCTTGATGGATAACATGCTTGCTTCAGCAAGCATGAGGAGTGGATCTTCAATCACCAGAACCCATGTAAAAGGTGGGCAGGCATGGTGGGCTACTTGTAATCTCAGTGTTCATGAGGCAGAGTCGGAATGGTGGGCAGGCATGGTGGGCTACTTGTAATCTCAGTGTTCATGAGGCAGAATGAACTCTGAGGTAAACTCACTGGCTAGACCAGCTGAATCTTCAAGCTTGGTGTTCAGTAAGAGACCCTGCCTCAGTAAATAAAACAATTGTCAAGGAAGATGGCCCGTGTCAACCTCTGGGCTCCATACTAGTGCAGCCACACATGAGAACATGTATACACACACGCACTTACACACTATGTACTGAGGAAACAGCTCAGTCGGTAAAGTGCTTGCCACATGGAAGCATAAGGACCCATGTTCGATCCCCAGGACACATGCCAAGAGCCAAACATGGTAGGGCTGCTTCTATCTATCTGGGGGATATGTCTGGAAACTGGCACTTTGGGGATCCGATGTATCCTGAGGTCTCCTCTTCATCAGCATTCTCAAGTCATTCCTTTAACCTAAATTCCTTCATTATATGCTAAGAGTCACTAAATGCTTCCAGCTCGCCAGGTCCTTCAGTGAGCCCGTGAGACCTTAGACATAGGGTAAGGACAGGAGTGCCACAGAGCTAATATTGGCAGGGGAGGGGAGATGATGACGTCCATGCATGCCATAGGTGCAGCCCTTCTCAAGAATCTACCTCCCAGCACGTACCTGGGTCCGTGGGGCACAACCCCTACCCTGCTTCCCCTACAGCAGCCCCACTCCAACCCCAGGAGGACCCTACTTGGAGGGAGGAGAACCATGGTCCATAAACAACTATGGTCCAAGTGCCTGGACCTTTCCTCCCAAGCCACCCCCTCCATCTTCATAGGAGCCACAGGAAACTCACCTATAATGGTTTCCACCTCCTGAGAGATGCAGACCCCATCAGGGTAGGAGCAGTTAGCTGGTGGGCAAGTAGTCTCAGAAATTTCAGAAGTGACCCCAAGGCACTGGTAGCAGAGCAACCCCTGAGCTGAGAACCAGGCCAATACATGAGGGTCAGGGCATGCTCTTCCTAGTCCACACCCCTCCTCTGCACCTGGCATGGCTTCCACACCACTGCTGCTGGGCTTTAGGACAGAGCAAGGACACTCCTCTTCAGTAACCTCCACCAAAAGCAAAAGTGAAACAAGAACCACAGTTCTTCATGTACGGTACGCTAGGTACGGGTACTGCTGTCTCAGCCAGCCAACACCACAGGAGAGACCTGAACCCCAAGAGGTATTAAAGGAAAGTCACCATAGCAGGAGAACATGGGTGCCTCCTGTCTGCTGAGATGGAGAGGGAGTAGGCACTGGGCAGTACAAGGGCCTCCTGAAGGGGAGGGCTGTTCTGACCTGTCCTACCCTACACCTGCAGAGCTGGCGCCTGGGCTTTGAAGTATGACAAGATACTGGACTTCCCAGAAGGCAGCTGCAAAGTAAGGGTTCACCATGAGACCTTCCACAATACAGATGTAACTAGAATTAAAGGGGTATCTGAGGGCTCAGAACCTCTTAGAGTAAGGAAGTTCTAGCACTGGGTCTTCATGTGGCTGGGTTGGGGGGATAAGACAGGGTCAAGTGTAATAATGGAAGGAATGCCAAAAGTTGAAGGTGATAAACTCCTTAACTTGGCAGCTGGGCAGCTTGTACACACACAGGCCAGTGGCCTGGCTGGGAGGCAAGGGCATCAGGGTACTCTGAGGGCAGGGGCCCTTGGTGGCTGGGGTTTTTCTGGGTCTCAAGAAAGAAAAGAGAGAGAGAGAGAGAGAGAGAGAGAGAGAGAGAGAGAGAGAGAGAGGCTGAAGAGTATGTCTGCAAGGCAGATTCTGTCAGGTTTACAGGCCCAAGAAGCCACCCCATCACATGAGAGTTCACCCACCATAAGCCCATTTCCTGACCCCAACACACCTTGGGTGCTGGGCACACAATGAAAATGCAAATATACCCATAACTCTGAGACCCTTTTCTATCTCACCTCTCTCTGCACACAGTAGGGTCACAAGCAGGATGAACACACAGGTGTTCATAGTGTGGGAACTGTTCATCCTAGGAGGAGTGCAAGAGACAAAACCTTGAGAATTGAAGCCAGCTTAATAGCACCCCCCCCCCAATCATATCCCCGGAGCTCTCACATGTCCAGGACATGGCCCAGGCATCCAATCTTCCCTCCCGGCAACCCTCCACACAGCTTCCCCCCAAAGAATAGGTGTCTGCCTGCTTCTCCTGCCCACTACCCACCCAGTTTGCCATTCCTAATCTCCAGCTTCCACCCACTGCCATATCCTGAGGACACTTCCTTGTGCTTGCCACCCAGCCCCATCCTGACACCTCTCCTCACATTCTCTCTGTGACCAGGCTGCAGGCTCAGGAGAAAGTTCCAGCTAGATGTGGGCTGAATAACTACCTCATTTCATGAGCTATCTTCCCTTAGCTCCTCCCAGTGGGTCCTAAAAGGGAAGGGTTTCCGGTAGGTATTTCCTTCAGGTCAACATGTTTATTAACTAAAAATTAACAAGGCTCCTTAGTCACCAGAGTGAGCCAGATCTGTACAGCAATTAGGGCAGGGCCATGCTGGTGCTGGAGGGCTAGGAAGAGGAGCTGAGGGGCAAGAGGGAAGTGATCAGGGTCATTTCTTTTTTTTTTTTTAATTTTATTTATTTATTTATTATGTATACAACATTCTGCTTCCATGTATATCTGCACACCAGAAGAGGGCACCAGATCTCATAACGGATGGTTTTGAGCCACCATGTGGTTTCGGGGAATTGAACTCAGGTCCTCTGGAAGAGCAGTCGGTGCTCTTAACCTCTGAGCCATCTCTCCAGCCCCCAGGGTCATTTCTTAACATTCAGAAAGCAACTTACCCAGCCTTTCCTGTTTCTAAAAAAAAAAAAAAAAAAAGTATATCTGAATTGCCATGGCTCAGAGCCTCCTTAGTATAAGGAGGTAAGCAACTGACAAATCCCTGGAGCCTGGCTCTGGTGAGCGAGCCCCTAGCAGGGTCATGTACCCAGAGTGAGAGTCCCGAGCCAACAGCTAACTGACAAGTGGAGTGGGAGACATTAGGCAGTGTCTGATGTATCTGGGTGACATCTGGGGCTTTGGGTGCTATTGGTATCGTGTGGCTAGAACCGGGGATGCTTTTCGTGGCCCAGGACAGTTTTATGCAGAGGATGAATGACCTCAACATTCCTGCTGCTGGACTGAGTGGGCAGACCCTGTCTTCCACAACCTCTGTAAAGAAAAGACATGTTCGCTCTCCCTGACACTCCAGTTTGGCATGCTGTGTATCCCTATACCTATGAGGTCCAGGTCTAAGGTGCCCCACAAAGGACATGAGTTTCCTGGCCTTTAAGTCACCACCACGTGACATAGTATTACAATATTTAAAACCTTACTACAATGAGCCAAGTGTTGATTGCATTTGGGGCTCAGCCCTGGGATGAATGGCAGGGCTTCTCTCCAAACCAGAGAGAATGAGTTTGTTATTCTTTTGTTTAAGCTGCAGCTGCTGATATAAAGAAAGGAACAACGGATGAACAACCCAGGTGGAGTTTATTTACCAGAAAGGGGGGGAGAGGGGGATGGGTAGTCAGCCAACCCAAGAGGAGCCAAAAAGAAGGGGAGAGAGATGGGCGGCAGGACTTTTTTAAAGGGGAGGTTGCGTATGCGCATTGGGGTTTTGCACCTGCGCCAGAGTCCTCACAGGTTGCAAAGCATGGCCCGTGAGTGCCCCGTTGTTAGGGGGCGGGGTCAGGGTCATCCAGGTGTATTGTTCTTACATTCCCGGCTGTTGTTTATTATAAAAGTTGAAGAATTGGGCGTGGCAGGTTAGGGAAGTAGGGGCGAAGATGTCTCAAGGCTGCTTCCTGTTGGCCTGGGACATTGAACGTTTTTTGGGGGGTTGGGTGCTGCCACATCCTGGGGTTGATTGTTGTTTCATTGCAGTCTGGGCCATATGGTACTCTCTGGTGCCTTTTAGACCTGGCAAGATGTTCCCAGAGCAGAGGACAAGGTTAAGTTTAGAAGAAAAAATGTTTTTCTTAGGTCCTGTCACTTGAGGGGAAGATTGTAAGATGAGGGAGGGGTTCCCGAGGTGTCCCAAGATGAGGGAAGGGGTAGGAGAGGTAGAGGGAGGGAGAAATTTGGATGTCCACAGAATACACCAAAGCAGCACAGAAGAGCATTGGAAAGAGCTTAAGGTATTGAGAGTGCCACTATACTTCTCTGGGCAATGAAATGTAGAACAGGAGAGTTGTAAGAAGGTAAGAAATTTAAAAAAAAAAAGTTATTTAAAAGAAAAACATAAAAGGAGAGCTGGTAAACCCCACATAAATAGTAAAAGGTACAAGCAGTTGAGAGAGCAGAGGGTGCAGAGAGGCTCAGGGGAAGGCGCACTCAGGATTTAGAGGAAAATAAGAAGATAAGGCATTCACTTCAGCCACCCACCCCTAAGTGAGAGTCACTGATAAGAGCGGAAAAGAAAGAGACAAAGAGTAAAGGAGAGGTTTGTCTAAGATGGGGATGTCTGAGGGAATCAGAGAAAGAGCATAAGGTAATGCAAAAAAAAAAAAATTAGAGAGGGTAAAAGAAAGTCGTAAAAGTGTCAGAGGATGCAAACTGTTTGCTGTGGGCTCTCATATCTGCAAGTACTAAGTTTAAGCAAACAGAGCCGCCATCTAACAAGAGCAGATCCCTGGGAAAGGGTGGCCACTGAGGGCCCCAATCTAGATTAATAAGGCTTCACTGGGTTGAGGCATGGACATGGACAGTCCAATTGTCCCCACCACAAAACACTCATGCCCCTCTCCATCCTGTTGTCTGGACTAGAGTTTTGCATACATCAAGGCCAACAAAGAGTCTAACTATGTATAACTTCTGGGCAGCAGCACTCACTAAGTAGCTTTATGAACGGAGAACAATAAAAGCAAAAGCAAGACACAAACCAGTGCCCCTTAACATTTTGGGCAATTCTGGCCCCTAGCCAGGACAGAACTGCTAAAACAATCAAGGACATTTCTGGCTACAGGCCAAGGCAGGACTAGTTGTTAAGGATAAAAAACAGAAGTGCGATTTTTGTGAGGTCCTTGCCTCTATTCCAGGCCAGTTAATTGTCAACTTGACACAAAGTGCAGTTACTTGGGAAGAGGAATCTCAATTGAGGAATTGCCTCCACATTTTGGCCTGTGAGCATGTCTGTGAATTGTCTTGACTATGATTGATGTAGGAGGCTCCAGACCACTGTAGGCTGCACTATACCTAGGCAGAGGGCCTATCCCACAGAGGAAAAGTAGCTGAGTGAGATAGGGGAAGGAAGCCAGTATACAACATTCCTCCACCATTTCCACATCAAGATCCTGCCTTGAGTTCCTGCTATGACTTCCCCCAGTATAGATTGCGATCTAGAAGTGTTGAAGCAACCTTTGATCGGAGTGGTTCATCAAAGCAACAGAAAGCACACTAGAAGACCACCCTGAACTGAGCAACTGGTTTCTTTCTTGTGTTTTCACTGAGCCAGGGACAAAGCTCAGATGTCATTCTTTGGATCAAAAGTCACACAGCAGAGCAACTTAAAGAGAATTTTTTTTAAAAAGAAATAATTTTATAAAATATTTGTGCTTCCCTTGATGGGCCCCAACAAAGCCTTCTACCTCAGCTCCCTCCCTTCCATATGATGCTATAAATCTCAAAAAGATAACAGGGGTGCTGGAGAGATGGCTCAGAGGTTAAGAGCACCGACTGCTCTTCCAGAGGTCAATTCCCAGCAACCACATGGTGGCTCACAACCATCCATTATGAGATCTGGTGCCCTCTTCTGGTGTGCAGATATACATGGAAGCAGAATGTTGTATACATAGTAAATAAATAAAATCTTAAAAAAAAAAAAAAGATAACAGGGATGCTGCCCTCAGGTACTTCAAATTCTCGTGTGTGTGTGTGTGTGTGTGTGTGTGTGTGTTTGAGTGTGAGTGTGTGTGTATGTGAGTGTGTGTGTGTGTCTGAGTGTGTGTGTGTGTGTGAGTGAGTGAGTGTGTGTGTGTGTGTGTGTGTGTGTGTGTGTGTCTGAGTGTGTGTGTGTGTGAGTGAGTGAGTGTGTGTGTGTGTCTGTGTCTGTGTCTGTGTGTGTGTCCCCAAATCTGATGTTAGGAAAGAGTCAGTTCTGACTGGCCTCCATGCCTGCTAATATCTAGCCAGCTGTCTGGCATGAGGGCACTATGTCAGAAACAAATAATCATGTTTCCTTTTCCTCCTTCCCTTTCCCCATTTTGAGATACCAGCCCAAATCCTAACCCTGTTTACCCTGCCACTCTGGGCACTCTCACTGTTCTGTGAGCCCATAAAACTGCTCAAAGCCCTCCTTTGCTAAACCTGACCACTTTCGTGGACCCAACTCAACCCAGAGGATGACAGATGATGATTTTCGTCAGAAGCAAGGACCCAGCAGAGCTGAAGTCACAGGACAGTCAAGAATTCACTGCCTGTAGGTCAGTGATGTACACAACAGGTGGTCAGATGACAGGTCAGTGAGAGATGTGGCCATCACTGTGCTGTCTATTTCCTTACCAGGGTGAGGGAGTTACACCCTTTTCTTGGTCTGGTTGTTCCCAGCAAATTCTTGGGTCTGTTTCCCTGGATATGGTTTTAAATGTAGCTGTTGTATAGCTCTTAGATAAAGCTTGTCAAAAATGCTTTTGTTGTTATTGGGGTTTTTTTTTGTTTTTTTGTTTGTTTGTTTGTTTGTTTGTTTTGTGATTTTGAGATCGGGTCTCACTGCAGCACAGCCCTGGCTGTACTGTAACTCACTCTGCAGACCAGGCTGCCTTTGAATTTACAGAGATCCCCTGCCTCTGCTGGGATTAAAGGCATGAGCCACCACACCTGATCAAAAATGGGATTTTTGATTCTTGAATCTGATAACTTTCTTTTTTTCTTCTGAAAATCCAGCTTATTTTTCCTGTTATGGACAGGTCTGGTCAGTGTGATCATATTTTCTACACATGCAATAATTTACCAAAATTAATTTCCTACAACTCTGTTAATCAGC